CGTTCTCCTTCGTCCTTTCTTTCTTTCTTTCTTTCTTTCTTTCTTTCTTTCTTTCTTTCTTTCTTTCTTTCTTTCTTTGCCTTCATTTTCTTCGTTCTTAATCGTCCTTTCTTTCTTTCTTTCTTTCTTTCTTTCTTTCTTTCTTTGCCTTCATTTTCTTCGTTCTTAATCGTCCTTTCTTTCTTTCTTTCTTTCTTTCTCTGCCTTCATTTTCTTCGTTCTTAATCGTCCTTTCATTCTTTCTTTCTTTCTTTCTTTCTTTCTTTCTTTCTTTCTTTCTTTCTTTCTTTGCCTTCATTTTCTTCGTTCTTAATCGTCCTTTCTTTCTTTCTTTCTTTTCTTTCTTTCTTTCTTTCTTTCTTTCTTTCTTTCTTTGCCTTCATTTTCTTCGTTCTTAATCGTCCTTTCTTTCTTTCTTTCTTTCTTTCTTTCTTTGCCTTCATTTTCTTCGTTCTTAATTGTCCTTTCTTTCTTTCTTTCTTTCTTTCTTTCTTTCTTTCTTTCTTTGCCTTCATTTTCTTCGTTCTTAATCGTCCTTTCTTTCTTTCTTTCTTTCTTTCTTTCTTTGCCTTCATTTTCTTCGTTCTTAATCGTCCTTTCTTTCTTTCTTTCTTTCCTTCATTTTTTCTTTGCCTTCATTTTCTTTCTTTCTTTCTTCGTCCTTTCTTTCTTTCTTTCTTTCTTTTCTCTGCCTTCATTTTCTTCGTTCTTAATCGTCCTTTCATTCTTTCTTTCTTTCTTTCTTTCTTTCTTTCTTTGCCTTCATTTTCTTCGTTCTTAATCGTCCTTTCTTTCTTTCTTTCTTTCTTTCTTTATTTCTTTTTTTTCTTTCTTTTTTCTTTATTTCTTTTTTCTTTCTTTCTTTTTTCTTTCTTTCTTTCACTTTGTTCATTCTTGTTCTTTCTTTCTTTCTTTCTTTATTTATTTTTGTTTTTCTTTCTTTCTTTCTTTCTTTCTTTGATAAAAATCCGTGCTATTTTCTAGTTTTCTTTTTTGTTTTATTCCTTCTTTTTAATTTTTCATTTAATTTCTTTTCTTTTTTTCCCACTTATTCTTTAAACTTTCTAAATTTGGTTTCATTTCTTTCACTTATCGTTTTTTTCTTTCATTCTTTCTTAAATTTTGCTTCCCCTCCCTCCACGTCTCTCTACCTTACCTTCATTTATATTTACTTCCTCTCTTGCACTCTTTCTATTCTTTACTCTCTCTTTTCCTCTCTCTTTTACTTTCTTTTCTTCTTTACTCTTTTTATTATTTTCGTTTCGTTGCTCATTACTTTTTCCTTCTCTTTCATCCATATTGATTCCTCCCACTTTTCTCTCTCTCCTTCTCCCTCACCTCAGGCTCCCACTTTCTTTTTTCTTTTGCTCTCTCTATTTCTCTTGTCTGCCTCTTTCATTTTCATTCTTATTCTTTCTTTCCCTCTTTGTCTCTTCATATCCTTAGGCTTTATTTGTGTGTCCTCTTTTACCCACAATTCCCTTATTTCTCTTTTTATCTGAAGGACACTCATTTTTTTTCTTTCTGCCCTTCGTCTTCTCTTTTTTTTCCATGTTGATCTCTCTCATTTTACGCGGAAATACCCCTGGAAAAAGGGTCAATTAGTAAGATTCGTATCTGGAGAAATCATTGCTATTCTAAAATATAACAATACTGTTAATCAATATTCACTATATATATATATATATATATATATATATATATATATATATATATATATATATATATATATATATATATATATATATATATATATATATATATATATATATATATAAAATATAGTCTTCAGATGTGCTATATTTATGGGATAAAGTGCTCAATATCAGAGATAGAGCGTGTGTAAATATAAAAGTGAACATAGAAGTCAACACTTAGAGGCGACAGTCTGTTTCATGCTATATGCAATTGCATATAGCATGAAATTATAAAAAATTAAAATATTAAAAATCGATTGAAAAATTTTTCAATCGACTTTTAATATTTTAATTTTTGGAAATCATCTTCGAATACGTTTTAACAACATCGCCCACGTGACGACTACGTGATCATATTTAAACGGAACGGTGATCTGTATAAAATTTCAGTTATCTGTTTGGATCAGTTGGGCTCTTATGTCCATCGTCTTTTGTGTTAAATTTTTATAAGTTCTAATGTTAATTATGTTTAAATGAAAATGTCCATGAAGATGGTTTTAAATAGACCGAAACGTCCGACGTCGACTTTATATTAACATTAATACTACATAATTGCATATTCAGATTTTTGTTTGTTTTTTTTTGTATTTTTCTTTCATATATATATATATATATATATATATATATATATATATATATATATATATATATATAGTTTTTGTATTTAGTCAGCAATCCATCTTTCATGCACATTTCATTGGATACGACGAACAAGGTGCTTTTATTTAGTTTCTTATACAATTTCTCATGCGATCTAATAATTCTTTTCTTTTCCGATGATGAATTATATAAGAAAAAACAACTTTTAAACTATATCAAAATTTTTTTTTGTCCGAGCGCTTTTCGCTATGCATTTAGCCATTTTCAAGAATTAAATATTTTGACTGTTAAATAAGAAACCACCATTTGATAATATCAACTATGAACATTGACATAATATCTTGACCGTGTTTTGAAAAATAAAAACATTATATAAATACATAGATGCCACAAACTATTTCAACAGTTAAAATATGTAATCCTTGAAAATGGCTAAATGTATAGCCGAAAGCGCATAAAAAGAACATTCGGACAGTTTTTATATAATTTATCATCTGAAAAAAATATTATTAGATCACATAATAAATTGTATGAAAAACAAAATAAAACCACCATGTCTGTCGTATTCAATGAAATTCATATATATATATATATATATATATATATATATATATATATATATATATATATATATATATATATGTGTTTTTCTGTGTGTTGATGCATCTGGGAACTGTTGTTGACTTTCATTGTGCTTTGCATAGAAAAAGATAAATGAATTAACGAAAAAATAAACAAATAAATAAGCAAATAAATAAAGCCTTTCTTTATCTTTCATGCTAAATATTAGATATGATATTGCAGTTCGGTACCCTTTTCTTAGTTGTTAAAGCAATTTTCCTATTTCATAATACTTTCCACTGTTTCTGAAAGGCATCTTTCTTTATTTCTAGTTACATTCGGATTTCTGTGCCACACTTACTGTCGTCTGTTTCTCTGATATCCATATAGATGAATTTCTAATATTATTATTATTATTGATCTTGTCTCTCTCTTGGTTTGTTACCACGAACGACACGCCCTGCCAATATCACATAAATAATGAACAAATTCCGTTTTGTTCGCGTGGAAACAGGGGGGGAGACCCTACTTGGTTTCAGTGAGAAAAAGAAAGAAAGAAAGAAAGAAAGAAATAATCGTCATTATTTGACAGTTGTCGGGAACATGGACCCAATGCGAACGATCCTTTCTTTAGCTGTGTAGTATGTGATACGCGACGGCTTCATACAGATTTTTCTTTCTTCTAGATCGGTTACCACCCAGAGCTATCGAACCCAGTCTGCTCTGTTATTTACTCATAGCTGGGGGTAGCTTGAGAAGAATAGGATTCACACCTTTCCTAAGGGTATTAGCATGTAAGTGGATGCAATGGACCCGACTGGAAGTTCGAACTCGCTTTCCGATTCCTCAATCCGAGCAGCTATTATTCCAAGGCGAAAGAAATAAGGGAAGATGGAAGAGTTTAACATCTCCTGCCCGCACCTTATAAATAATGGACTATTCCATTTGCATCTGTTAGGAAGAGGAGAGAAAGACACTGTTTGGTTTCAGTGAGGAAATGAATAAAAGAAAGAAAGAAGAATTTTACGTCTGTTTCAGTGAAATAGAAAAAGTTGTCATTTTTTAAATAAAATTCTTCTTAAAATAATGACCCGCATTCATATTTAGGATTGTTATTGCAATATTTTGTCAGTTTTGAAACTCAAATATTTTAACGATGTGATAAATAAATTTTTACGGATCTTTTATTGTCATAGACATCGCCATGAGCTGTATTCAGACATAAACTAAAGAATTAAGATTATTTAGAATATTCAAAGAGTAAAATCGTGAAATTTTTTCGGTTCGTTGTACTTATTATTAAATTTATGGCCTCATGCTTTCACTTTCTTCATTCTCATTTGCCTTCTTTCTTTTTTTCTTTCATTCTTTCTTTCTTTCATTTTTCATTCTTTCTGCACTTTCATTTTCTTCGTTCTCCTCGTGATTCTTTGTTTGTTTGTTTCTTTCTTTCTTTCTGTGCGTACACTTTCTTCTTTAATTCTTTCTTTCTTTCTTTCTTTCTTTCTTTCTGCTATTTCATGTCTTTCGTACTACTTCGACCTTTCTTTCTTTCTTTTTTCCTTCTTTCTTTCTTTCTTTCTGTGCTTTCACTTTCTTTAATTCTTTCTTTCTTTCTTTCTGTGCTTTCACTTCTTCTTTAATTCTTTCTTTCTTTCTTTCTTGCTTTCTTTTTTCTTCTATTTCATGTCTTTGGTTTTACTTCGACCTTTCTTTTTTCTTTTTCCTTCTTTCTTTCTTTTTCCTTCTTTTTTTCATTCTACTGCTTTCACTTTCCCTTTAATTCCTTTTCTTTCTTTCTTTCTTTCTTCTATTTCTTTCTTTCGTTCTTTCATTCTTTCTTTCTTTCTTTTTCCTTCTTTCTTTCTTTCTTTCTTTCTTTCTTTCACTTTCTTTAATTCTTTCTTTCTTTCTTTCTCTTTCACTTCTTCTTTAATTCTTTCTTTCTTTATTTCTTGCTTTCTTTCTTTCTTCTATTTCATGTCTTTCGTACTACTTCGACCTTTCTTTCTTTCTTTTTTCCTTCTTTCTTTCTTTTTTCCTTCTTTCTTTCTTTTTTCATTCTGTGCTTTCACTTTCCGCTTTAATTCTTTCTTTCTTTCTTTCTTTCTTTCTTTCTTTCTGTGCTTTCACTTTCTTTAATTCTTTCTTTCTTTCTTTCTGTGCTTTCACTTCTTCTTTAATTCTTTCTTTCTTTATTTCTTGCTTTCTTTCTTTCTGCTATTTCATGTCTTTCGTACTACTTCGACATTTCTTTCTTTCTTTTTTCCTTCTTTCTTTCTTTCTTTCTTTATTTCTTTCTGTGTTTTCACTTTCTTTAATTCTTTCTTTCTTTCTTTCTGTGCGTACACTTTCTTCTTTAATTCTTTCTTTCTTTCTTTCTTTCTTCTATTTCATGTCTTTCGTACTACTTCGACCTTTCTTTCTTTCTTTTTTCCTTCTTTCTTTCTTTTTTCCTTCTTTCTTTTTTTCTTTCTTTTTGTGCTTTCACTTTCCTCTTTAATTCTTTCTTTCTTTCTTTCTTTCTTTCTTTCTTTCTTCTATTTCATTCTTTGGTACTACTTTTCCTTTCTTTCTTTCTTTTTTCCTTCTTTCTTTCTTTTTTCCTTCTTTCTTTCTTTTTTTCATTCTGTGCTTTCACTTTCCGCTTTAATTCTTTCTTTCTTTCTTTCTTTCTTCTATTTCATGTCTTTCGTACTACTTCGACCTTTCTTTCTTTCTTTTTTTTCTTTCTTTCTTTCTTTCTTTCTTTCTTTCTGTGCTTTCACTTTCTTTAATTCTTTCTTTCTTTCTTTCTGTGCTTTCACTTCTTCTTTAATTCTTTCTTTCTTTATTTCTTGCTTTCTTTCTTTCTGCTATTTCATGTCTTTCGTACTACTTCGACCTTTCTTTCTTTCTTTTTTCTTTCTTTCTTTCTTTTTTCCTTCTTTCTTTCTTTTTTCATTCTGTGCTTTCACTTTCCGCTTTAATTCTTTCTTTCTTTCTTTCTTTCTTTCTTTCTTTCTTTCTGTGCTTTCACTTTCTCTGTCTTTTTCTTTCTTTCTTTCTGTGCCTTCACTTCTTCTTTTAATTCTTTCTTTCTTTTTTCTTTTTTCTTTTCTTTCTTTCTATTTCATTTCTTTCGTTCTACTTCTCTCATTTCTTTCTTTCTTTCTTTCTTTCTTTCTTTCTTTCTTTCTTTATTTCTTTTCTGTGTTTTCACTTTCTTTAATTCTTTTTTTCTTTCTTTCTGTGCTTTCACTTTCTTCTTTAATTCTTTCTTTCTTTATTTCTTTCTTTCTTTCTTTCTGCTATTTCATTTTTTCGTATACTTACATTTCTTTCTTTCTTTTTTTTTCTTTCTTTCTTTTTTCCTTCTTTTCCTTCTTTTTTTGAATTCTGTTTTCACTTTCTTTAATTCTTTCTTTCTTTCTTTCTTTCTTTCTTCTATTTCAAAAGTCGTTATTTTTTTACCTTTCTTTCTTTTTTTCCTTCTTTCTTTCTTTTTGAGATTTCTGTGCCTTCACTTTCTTTAATTCTTTCTTTCTTTCTTTCTGTGCTCAAATTTTTAATTCTTTCTTTCTTTATTTAATTTCTTTCTTTCTGCTCTTTCATGTCTTTCCTTTTGACCTTTCTTTCTTTTCTTTTTCCTTCTTTCGTTCTTTCATTCTTTCTTTCTTTCTTTCTTTCTTTCAAAAAAAATCATTTTCTTTCTTTTTTCTCGTGATTCTTTGTTTGTTTTCTTTCTTTCTTTCTTTGTACCTTTCTAATTTAATTCTTTTCTTTTCTTTCTTTCTTTCTTCTATTTCCTTTTTTATTTTTACTTTCTTTCTTTCTTTTTTCTTTTTCTTTCTTTCTTCGTTCCTTTCTTTCTTTTTCTTTCTTTTTGTGCTTTCTTTCTTTTAATTCTTTCTTTCTGCGACTTTGTTTTTTTCGTTGTTTTCTACCTTTCTTTCTTTTTAAGTTTTTTTCTTTCTTTCTTTCTTTCTTTCTTTCTTTCTTTCTTTCTGTGCTTTCACTTTCCTCTTTAATTCTATCTTTCTTTCTTTCTTTCTTTCTTTCTTTTCTTTCATGCTTTTTTATGTTTTTCCTTCCTTTCTTTTTTTTCCTCCTTTCTTTCTTTTTTTTCCTTCTTTCTTTCTTTCTTTCCTTCTTTAATTAATTCTTTCTTTCTTTCTTTCTTTCTTTCTTTCTTTCTTTCTTTCTGCTATTTCATGTTTTTCGTACTACTTCGCCCTTTCTTTCTTTCTTTTTTCCTTTTTTCTTTCTTTCTTTCTTTCTTTCTTTCTTTCTTTCTTTCTGTGCGTACACTTTCTTCGTACACTTTAGCCGTTCGTTCTTTCTTTCTTTCATTCTTTCTTTAACTTTCTCCTTTCTTTATTTCTTTCCTATATTCTTTCTTTATTTCTTTCATTTTCTTTCTTTCTTTCTGTACTTTAACTTTCCACAAGCATGTAGTGCGAATGAAGAAACTGCTAGCATAGAACTTACGGGATCTTGTCAAGTATCTCTAAATATATAGCAAGTACACCAGACCATGTGTGGCTGTAATATTCTAAGCATGGACGAATGGTCGACTTATAGATATATGATAGATTCTGGAGAGAAAAATTGTCTAGCGTGACAAAGTGAAGCGACTTTTTCTTACCAAGTGATGTAGCAATGGATTCAATATCGTCTTTCCATTTCATGTCAGCCGAGAACGCGCAGGAGATCACTCTCGTGGAGGTTAGCATCAGCCGTACTGATGGAAGGCAGAAAGGGATCTCTTATGTGATTAATAGAGAGATGTTTAGTTTTGGAGGCGTACAAGCCATTCTTTGCCCCGGTTGACAACAGGAAGTATGTCCCTTTTGATATCAGCCGCTAATCTGATCTGATTTGATTTCTTCGAACTTACACGGAAAATCGCGCTGCAACGCATCCAAAGGACGGAACACTGTCGTATTTCGAGGACTCAATGTAATCGAACCCGACTTGATTGCGGAAGTCGTCTGTGGCTGAGCTGGCATTACTGAGAATACTGCTGCAGAAGAAAATATGTTTAATAAGACTTTTGAATGCATAGGCTGACAATTCCCATATAATATCGAATAGGTTGGTAAGTTTTTATAACCAGTTTTTACGAAAAATAGGAGGTTCTCTTATATATATATATATTGTTAATTATTTGAAGATGTTAAAATCATGCATTTTCTGTCAACGGCTGCACTATACATACGTAATTTTGGTGTGTGTGTGTGTGTGTGTGTGTGTGTGTGTGTGCTGTCGGGAGTAAGCGTTAAAATTCTTGCCCCAAAATTCAATGGTCGGACTATGCATGAAGTCGACTTATACAAAGAGTATATACGGTAGAGACATTTAAAAAAAAAAAAAAAGCAAACGTTTATCGATTTACCTGTTCTTTCTACGTCTACGTCTCTCACTAACCAATTTCTCCTTTCTCCCTCTCTTTTTCTCTGTCTGTCTGTCTGTCTCTCTCTCTCTCCATATATATATATATATATATATATATATATATATATATATATATATATATATATATATAAAAACACATACACACACGCATGCACACATGCGCGGTATTTATGTCTCGTTCACTCAGTATCGAAATTAAACTAAATTATCTCTGTGAGAGCTTGAGATTCATTTTTTGTGGCTTCGAAGTTGTGAAAATCAGCCAAGATTTATAATACAAGAATTTAAATGTCTGGGAAGTGTTTTAACGCAGGAGGAAAGTGCAACACTAAAATCCTAAGGTGCATTGGAATAGCCAAAGATGCCTTCCAAACACTAAGCAGATTATTAAGAAACAAAAAAACTTCTTTCGAAACAAAGAAAAGAGTACTGAACTGTTACGTAATATCAGACCTCCTATATGATAGAATATCAACAACTTAAAATGTACAAATGAGATACTATTGATAGCAAACAGAAAGGAAACTGCAAAATCTCCTAGTAGTGAAGGAAAGCTAGAAGAAAGGACTAATCATCAATTGCAAGAAGTCAGAATACATGTTTGTTAGCAAAAGAATGACCCCAAAATGCAAACATCCTGGGTATAATTTATATATTGTTAATTATTTCTCTTATTTCGTACTCCTTCGTGTATTCTTTCGTTCTTTCTTTCCTTGCTTTCACTTTCAAACTCTTCTCCCCAAAACTATGGGTTAATTAGTAGAACTTATCTGTAAATCCTTATCACTCCCTCACAATTTTTACAATCTAAAAAAATGAAAATAACCTGAAATAGTTTTTCTTTATGCCCCGTGTTTTGTGTTAAGACACCCGAGAGCGTAGAACCACCTCTTAATTGCTGGTGTTCCCAGGTCCACTTCAACCAGGGTGGTAGCACCTGTTAGGGTCTCAGCTATGGGCAAATAGTTACCCCCACCCCAAACTGGGATCAAAGCGTGTAAAAATAGGTTTACATACCAGTAATACATTTCTGTAAAATTATTACCAGCAATACATTTTTGAAGAAAAAAATTATTACCAGAAATAGATTTTTGACAAAACAAAATATTACCAACAAATAAAAACTTTGTCGGCATTAAATAACACATTGAGGTTGATATGCCGTAAAACATAACAAACCGAACCAATAACCCTCTTCCTTGATTGGCTCTTGGGCCTTTACAAGGTGAATATCACTGTAAAAATTTTTTTTTTTTTTATTGACGAAATTTATCTTATCCAGAGTTCACAAATTGTTGAAGGAAAAATTATTGCCAGCAATATATTTTTTGGAAAAAAAACATTGCCAGAAATATATTTTGAAAAAAGAAATAAATTATCAAATTTAATCAATAAAATAGTTTTTTTTTACAGTGATATTCACCTTGCACAAGACCCAAGAGCCAATCAAGGTAGAGGGTTATAGGTTTGATTCGGTTTGTTGTGTTTTACGGCATATCAACCTTTCCAAAAATGTATTGCTGGTAATATTTTTTCCAAAAACGTATTGTTGGTAATATTTTTTTTTCAAATATGTATTGCTGGTAATAGTTTTTTTCTTCAAAAAATTATTGCTGAAAATAATGTTTTACAAAGTATTCCTGGTATTAAAACCCATTTTTACCCCAGTTTCGTGGTTAACTATTTGCCCTTAGCTGGGACCCTAACAGGTGCTACCACCACGGGTCAGGGTAAACCTGAGAACA